TGATAAGGAAATTATTTTGAGACTTACTGTTACACGTATAAATATTGGATCATTTAGATAATTATAATTAGCAATTACTGAATTTCTTTTCTTTATTTTTGTTGTCAAAATCATTAACCGAAAAAAAGCTACTAAACAGTTTCGTACGTTTCAAATCATTAAAATTATAATCCAAACTCAAAAACGATACTAAAAGCCTTAAAATTATTACGAACAATTCTCCGTTAACCCTAACAAAATCCGGTTGAATAATTTTATTATACTCACACTGGCACCTGTTAGGGCCGCCCCCAGCAAAAACTGTATTACGGCCACTCATAATCAACAGTAATCATTGACTACAATAACTGTCAAAACGGCACTAAATATTGTTTGTTAAATGCCATAAGTTTTGTACTTTTTTTTCAACGGTCCACACCTTGGAAGCGATGGGACTCGACCGGAGCTGTTATATGCAGTTACAGTACCAGGCAATAAATTTTGCACATCGTTTTTTTAAAAAAAAAGATAAGTTTGTGTGATGCTATGATTTATACAAAAAAAATATATATTTTTCTAATCATTTTTTATATTGTACTTAACCTGTTGAGCTCATAATCATGAGCAGTATAAGTTAAAATACAGTCAAAATTTATATTTAATAGACAGTATAAGTCATCTTTGAACGTCGAAAAAAACATAAAGATAAAAACTTAAACAGTGGCTGTCTGTTATTGTCCTTTGGTGAAATTATTTGCTTGTCCCAAAGTGTAGATGCCTATTCCTAAATGTAGGAGCGTGGCGACGTGAACGTTTCGTATACGCGGTGACTTGGACGATTGTCTCTTTCCAAAGATCGATGTGGAATCTTTATTGCCGGGTACTGTTCATACTTCACAAAGGAGTGAATGTATCAAGACGTGCCAGGTGCTAAAGGTTAATATAACTCGAGTGTACTTGTTTCCTTTTGAATATTCAAATGTTAGACGCTAAGTTGTAATTGTTTACACTATAATAATAGCCTATCTTGTCCTGCATAAGTTGTTTGAGTGTGTATTTTCCAAGTCTATTTCAAATATGTAATAGATGCTTTGTTAATCGTTCTTGATTAGCACTTACCTATCTTTTGTATTTATATTTGTAGGCGACTTTGCTATTTTTTTGTTGTTAGAAAGGTACTCGATAATTATGATATGGTTTTTATATTATCTTAATACAGACTGTTTGGAAGTTATGTGGCTTGACTGAAGTAGTCCAGTCATGTTTAGAAAATCATCTACGGTTTCACTTTCAAAACAAATTCAATTGAAAAACGAAATCAGTACTTTATAATATGCAATTCTTATAAATGATACATTTATATTTACGTAAAATGTTCGTTAGCATATATTAAGCGAAACGGCAACGGAAAATAATTGTTACCGAAAGGTCATGATAAAGTTTCAATCAGTAGAAAACATAGCCTACCTGGTTTAGACACGCACATACTATAATGCATGGGCATCACGTCCGCCGACACACCGGTGGGTAATTGTCGAGGCATTAAAAACCGATAAAAACCATTAATACGACCGGCGATCGGTCAAATTGCGGATACCGATAATTTACGTAGGAGACGCCCCTCGTGCCACCCGCGCCCGCGCAACCACCACAAGATGCATTCCAAGTGATAATTAAATGAACTACAAGTACGATCCCACTTCATAACATAAGATTGCATTGTAATTAGGTACTTACAACGTCTGTTAAATATGACTACGGAGCGAATCAATAAGCACGATTCATATTAATATTGCATGATGTCATTAATAAATAATTTATAAAACAAAAATAATTTTCCAAACAATATACTCACAAATAAGTAAAAGCGAGTGAGGCAAGCAATAAAGAAATCATAATTATGGATTTATTGGTAAGCGAAAGGTTGTCTGCACATTTTAAATTTCGCGGTAGAGTGGCCAGGCGTCGTTTCAACACAGTTTTATTGTATGGATTCGCCGATGACGAACGATGTGAAGCAAACCGCAAACCGATTTTGCAATAACGTTTTAACGATAAGCGTCTGACATATAAAGAGCATGTTACGACAGAAGATTCAAATATTTTGGACAAGTCATTGTCAAGAAAAGTCCAAGGGACATAAATCGTTCACCAGTTAGCCCTCTCTAACAAAGTCCACTCGGCAATAAAGTGGCCGCTTGTAAATCAAAACGACGAATCGAAAAAATGAAAAAAGTAAATAAATTGAGACGAAGCCGACATTTCTCGTGAGCCACGCAACACTAGTGATGCGCTACTTAGTTGTAAGGGCACTGTCGATAAAATATCCTGTGCGTGTACCGCAATAAAAACATCGCTCAAGCGAAACTTCCGTAATTCGATAAGAGCTTTTTTAAAGACAAGACTTGCATGTATCTGGTACATGATATACCTCTACATAGTTGATTATCCTGATTAATATAGAAAATAATGTAGAGCCTCAATCTAAAAATTAAAAACCATTATGCATTTCGATTCTAAATTTTTATAAGCTTATAAAACTCATAGTAGAATTAGGAAATATTCGATAATAAAGTACGATATTCGGTGGTCCGAGGCAGACAGTATCGATGTGGAAAGGAATGGATTGTGCATCGCAATAAAAAAAGATAAAGCGTATTACGGGATGTCCGGAGATAAGAGCCACTTTATGTTTTCATATTAAGTTTGACATAAAAATGAACGCAGTAACACATTTTACTGCCATTGGGTGCCTTTGTTAGTTTAACACAAGTCTCGACGAGGAATTCTTACTAACTGTTCTACATAACACTAACAGAATCAATATACAGTCCGTCCGATTTGAAACAACTTTTAATAGTAATAAACAGTTTCTAGGAATTGAGATACTAGATTTGTAATAAAACTGTTTGATTTCAATCCTTGTCAGGCCACGCTATAAGGTAGTAATCAATTACTCTTCGGTTACTGGTTAACAGTTTATTTTGTTAAGGTTTTAATACAGCTATAATTTGATATTCAGAGTCGTTATAATAAAAAGTTATCTGAGTGTGCCTCGAAATTAATAGACAATGCATTGTAAAGCAATTTGAAAACACGCTCCGCCACCCTCCCCCTTGTAAAATTTGTCCCCGATATCCCGTTTTGATTGGACGGCTTGATTTATATCTTGTTTAGGCGTACACTGAAGATTACCCATTGTTGATCCTTTTTTATTTTAAGACAATTTTATGGGCTATAAACAAAATTTTGTAATTATGGAGGAAATGTGATCGTTTCGTTTAATATTCGACTTTTGGGTCCTTTTGTTAATGATGTATGAACGTTTAATAACTTTAATATGTAGTAGGTATAAAAATTAAGGACATCTCATGCGTTTATCTTAACACGTACACGTATAACGTATAACGTTGTAATTTTTATAATTAGCTTGCTGTTTCAAATATCAAAACTAGTCAGTCCTTTATCAGGGTTGTGTACGCAATGAGAATAGTAACAAAGGGATCCCTTCCCCGGAGATTGAAACGCTCTCCGGGCTACCGCCGGCTACAGTGATTTAGACTAACTGCACTTGTTGCGATACGGGGGGCACTCCCCATTGCAGATAACATATGACAGGCGGCTAATACGAGGATTATACTCATTCCACACACTTGTTCCGGCAAGTTATTTTACCGTAACTGCGCCAGAACGGCAAGTTACAAGCCTGCATCAGCTAATGACGCGAAACTACAGTCATTCCGCTAACTCACTAGGTAGATCATATTTTGCCGTGACACTTATGTTCGAACCTGTTCACAGCTCCTACCATGGAAATGAGATATTTTATCGCAAACTATAACTTCGCCTCGCAGGTAATAAATACAGCCATTATTGAATAAAAATATGCTCATAAACTAAACTCCTGGAGGCGAATAAAATTTTCAAAACAGTTTTATAGAACTTGTTATTTGTCAAGCGAGGAAGAAACGTTTTGTGTTGGTATATTATTTGACGTGTCAATATTGCGCGCGCGCCTCTGGAGGGTTGTATGTCAGGGCGCGACAGTTCCCGGGGCCGGCAGGCACCGTACACAATGCCAATTTTCCGCTCACCGCCACCGACTACGCAATTATTTAGATAAACCTCTCGGCGTGACTATAAAAACATCTTCCCCTCCCCACGCAACGCTGTTTGTTGTCTTTGGGGCTTTGTGAATTTATAGCCCAGCATTACGCCGACGGTTAGGAAAAAATGTACTTTTAATTTATCTCGTTAAAGGGTTGAAGGACGGCCGGGTTCGCGAAGTAATTATTCCGGAATTGGCCACTTTAGCTGATGAATCCATTCCATTGTACCCTTTATTGGGGGGCGATTGTGGAGTGAATTAATTTGTTTTTGACTCCGATCTCAACGGAGTGAAAGATTACATTATGCTGATGAGCGAAACATTTATTCCGCTAATTGTTTTCCAGAGCTACCAAGTTTTTAATAATGAAAGTAGTTAGAGTATTGAGGAATACTCAAGAGGAGGGATTTGCCTCATTGTTTTATATTATTATCAAATTATAGCGACGTTTGTACCATTCGCTTTTTAAAACGTTTTCTCCAAACCAAAATTGCCATATTTTATAAAAAAAGAGCTAAATAAAGAACGAAATTCAAATGGAATACAAATTATCCCTAAACTTGACTCCGAACAACAATGAACGTCATTGTTTCCAAAAGTTAGCCGAGATTAAAACATTGAGAAATAATGGCCAACTTCATTTTGAAGAAGAGAGTAAATTGTCAAGTCCAATTTATAAATCCAAACTTTTTGATACCCCAAAATTAACTCCTTTTAAATGTAAAAACCACTTTAACAATCGTAATGTAATTTTTAGTCGAAAAAATTATTGTCTTTAATTTTTGATGCATCTTCAATTTTCAGGTTCATCAATTATAACGCACAAAGTACAATAGAAGAGTCTCAAGTCTCATCGATATACTAAAAAAGAAAGTTGTAGTAAAGTGTCCTATCGTTACATAAGGTCTATTGCTTACCTGCCACTCTTAGTGATGATCATCTCGGTGCCAAGGTCATGGAACTTGTCCCATAATTCCTTAGTTTCCAGCTGACAGTCTACGGAGAGTAACTCCTCGCAGTTGCAGGAGGTGGCTGGAGGAAGGGGCCTCGCTGGTGAAGGCGTATCCCTCTCACCTAGTTCTGGTCATCAAAGAGTTCAATTAGAATTCATTTCTGGTATTATTGCAGTCTCATGAATACGAGGTTTCAGGTACAGGTTACTCTAATAGGAGTACCTACCCTTTAGTCGTAGTATTAAAAAAAAATGAAATGTAAGTTCAACATCATCGTCATAAACAGCCTATAAGTGGCCACTACTGACCGAAAGGCCTCTTCTGGCATGGGGAAGGTTTGAACATTTATCACTACGCTTGCCCAATGTGGGTTAGCAATTTAGTCGTACGGTTACAGTTTAAATTTTAGACATAAACAACGATTTTTGAGTTTGGCATAATAAAAACTACTAATCTGACTGGTTTATAGTAAGTCTTAGTAAACTGTACCTACTATATTTTTATACAAAAAAATAAACTGTACCTACTACATTTTTATAACTTTTAAACGGTAGAACATATGAATACGCGATATTTTCCACAACCTGGTCATTAAGACACCCAAGTAGGTCCTAACAGTTTATGTAAGTACAACCACACCTCATGTATATTCAACTCATAATGATACAATTCCAGTAGACATCGTAAATTGAGTAGTAACAACTGACAACGACTTCTATTCCTGAAGTACAAGCATAACACGGTTGTTATACATGTTGTTTGAGTTGCAAAAAAAATAAAAACCGTGTGACCTTAACATAAGAAGTCATTTCTATGGATATGACAAAACAACATGCTGTATATTCGGTATTTAAACTGCGTACAGACGATATGAAATCAACGAAAAGAAATGTCTTAATTAACCTCTGTTTTTAAAGATCATTATAAAATAAAATTATAACCCAAAATATCCCTGAATTTGGCACTAAACAACAATAAGATTTAATGAAAACCGCGATTTCTTGACAAGATAGTTCTTAATTGAGCCTAGTAACTTTACAACACCGAATTAATTGACAGTGCTACTTACTCAAACTGTAGCATAATAAACCACAATTAGATACAATAAAATCATTAACTACTCATTTAAAGGCAGCTTGTTACTAGGTGCGGTGACTACATTATAGTTTTCTACACGCATTAAATCAAAGCAGCTAGTGTGAGAACCGAATTGTGTTGCTCTGAGAAAGTTTGTTTATAATGTTAATAACACTGGTCTTATAACAACTTCAATTACTTTTTGTTGTAAAATAATGGCGCTCGCCGCAAGATGCAGCAGTAAATTGCCTGAGATTTCACGTAAATAAGTGTCAGAATGGTTTAGGTCTTTAGTACAAGAAATTATATTTTGTTTTAGCTGGTGAAGGTGGTGAAAGGGCGGTTTCTTGTGTATGAGAATGTGGGCTTTATGATAACCTCCGTCTTTTATTGTTTAGACTAGATCACGTCTTACTAGAGTAGGTATATGAAACCTTCTTTGTGGGTATATTAATGTTTTAATTACGCTAATGCTAGTGGAAATGAACAGTTCGATTGCCGAATTAAATGTTTTCTTACTCTTTGACGCAATAACTACCTACTGATGAGGCACATTAAGCTATCACTAATTTATGCGAAGAAACGCACAGAACTTACCGTCTACTAGTAGTACTAAAGGCTAGTACATATTGGGCGTTCGGCATTACGATCAGCGCAAGAGTAGAGTCATTACGTTGTTACTTAACTGAATCCTTACCAATTGTTTTAAGAACGAAATTTTACTTAGAAATAGTTTAAGTAATAATTAAATAGCAGCGGAAGACGCAGCGTGGGCAGGTCTCCTGTTAGGTGGACCGGCAACATCGCCAGAGTTGCGTGAAGCGCGTAGATACAGGTGGCGAGTTGTCGTTCAACGTGGAGGACTAAAGAGATCTTTGTCCAGCAGTGGCTGTTGATGATGATGAAATAGCAGGTAGACAGATAAATAATAACTTAATTTCTTACCGGAGGATGGCGCAGGTGAAGGCACGGCGTGGTCGGAGGCGTCTCGCTCTCCATCAGAACACTGTTCCACGTCTACCTCCACATCTTCGTCCGGCAGGGGGGACCGGCAGCTCGACGCTGGAGAGCTGAGCGATGCCGGTGAACTTTGCCTGGATACCGAACCTGCATAACAAGAATTTTGGTCACAAACTAGGAGAAAGTAAAGGGAAAATTCATACATAAATATGTGGCGCCTGGATACCTGTAGCTACTGGGTAGGAAAGGCTTCAGATGGCGTGAAAATCGCTTATTTATTAAGGTGTAAGATTAAAACCCTGTCTCAAGGATACCTTGCACAATCTTGTTGGCTAAGCCAGTTAAGGTACTATCCTTACTATAATATTATAAATCGGAAAGTGAGTTTGTTTGTTTGTTCGTTTGTTCCACTTTCACGCCGTAACTACTAAACCGATTGCTTTGATTTTTTGCAGACGTGAGGTTAGAAGTCTGGATTAAACAATAGGCTACTTTTTATCCCGGAAAAAAAATTTATATTCTCGAGAGAAAACGAAATTATTGGTATAGATGGCGCTGTGTGTATTGGTATATATCACATAGGCTACTTTTTATCCTTTTGTGACGCGAGCGAAGCCGCGGGTAAAAGCTAGTACATAATATAAAGAAAGAAGGAAAATCTTTATTTCACAGCTAAAACAGGTAACACATACAAATTTTACACATACAGTTTATAAACAACTACTAATGTCCCAAGTCTGAAGTGAAATGGGACCAGTTCAGCATATGCAAGACAGGGCCTTGCTTGGTATTCTACTGGCCCCTTAAATGACTCGCAGACGAATAAGCCACACCACACCACACATAAACAAAACTTATATATCTTAAGTATACAATGTTAAGGTTACTTTTGCCTGTGATACGGGGCTTTCCTACTATAGGCATCTAAATGTATAAGGTCTACGTCGCTTATTAAAAAAATATTATATTTTGTATTTTGCTCATTTTATCATCAATAATTAAATGATAATTCGAAACAATAGAAATGTAACTTGATCTAACTAAAGTTTCAAACTCCATTGATGGTCACTGACTTTAGCATTTACGTTTATAAATACGGGAGTAAGAATCAGTACACTTGATTCTTATCAGAGATCATATTTGAACAGTTCTATCAGATACATTTAGATTAATCCTTGGGGATATTTACAATTTAATGTGGCACGTGTAATGTAACAACAATTTAATCAAAATTACTAGAGTTTTCGACAGCATACCTACATGAAACCTGGACAAAGCATCAAAGCCGCGAACCTTGTTAATTAACAGCGGTATTAAACCTAATGAAACGAGGTGTTGCCAGGTACAACTAAGTATTGGCTTTACTGATACAAAATGGCGACTACCTACTAACTTCTATTTAGATAGATATCTACATAAAGTTAGTTAACTATATAATTAAAATGATTTAGACGAGTACTTTCCTAAGTAACCTACAATCCTAGCTATCATTACTCCGAAATATTTCAACTATTTCTAATCCAAAATAATTTATTTTATATGTTATAAATTTCGTGAGACATACTAAATTAATTATTATGTTTTCAGCTTACTCACGTCCAGAGGGCGAAATAACGGCAAAGGGTGCGTTTGGCCCGCACCGCTGCAGAGCCGAGCAGCCACTAGCAGCGCGACAGTCGCCGCGTCGCGGGTCGTGAAATGCTGCTCATGAATATGAGCCTCTAGCTTGGCTTGAAACTAGTCGAGTTCCTCGTCAAACATTTTTGTGAGTAAGCCGAAAACATAATAATTAACTAAGTTATAAATGCAAAAGCAAGTTCACTCTTGATGCTCTTATTTGTTGGAAACACAGAGCCTTCTCTACCAACTATTCGCAGTTGTTTTTCAGCTGTAACCATCTCATCTTTCAACATCAAATCTGGATGCTATCTAATTTTAATAAACTATAAAACATTAGACATAACTAAATTTTCTTTTCAGTCCACTTATTTCGGAACACATTTAATGCAAACGAAATACTTGATATCTATTTCCTCTTTATAATGCTTCAACATCATCATCATCATCATCATCAACAGCCTATAAATGCCCATTGCTGAGCAAAGGCTCTTCTCAGACAGAGAAGGTTTGATCATTAATCACCTCGCTTGCTCAATGGAGGTTGGTGATTTCAAACATATAATTAGAAATTATAAGCCCTGGTGTCCTTACGATGTTTTCCTTCACCGTTTGCCAGTGCTTATAATGCTTATTTACAGCTAATGCTGTATAGTAGTATATACCTAACGGTCTAGATCTACCAGATAGCTCAGTTACATCGTTAAAATTCAAACATGTGTTATCAAAACTGAAAGTAAAAGTCAACATAGTCTAGCAGTAAATATAAAGGTTAACTCATAAAATACAAAATAACATGACGGAATAGTAAAATAGACTTTAGTTATAACAACTATACAGATAAATAAAATTAGAGTGTGTCTGTAATAAAAAATAACCAGTTTTAACTACCTGCATTGCATACTTATATCATCATCATCAACAGCCTATAAATGCGCACTGCTGACCAAAGCTTCTTCTCACGCGGAGAAGGTTTGAGCATTAATCACCACGCTTACTCAATGCGTGTTGGTGATTTCAAACTTATAATTAGAAATTATAGGTCCAGGTTTCCTTACGATGTTTTCCTTCACCGTTTGTCAGTGGTGTCTGAATAATCTTAGAAAGTACAGTAGTAAAGTAAGTACCCCTAAAGTCACATTGGTACATGCTGTTGATAGGTTTCGAACTTGCACCTTCATGCATGAGAAGCGTCTTAACCCTCCCGGCCACCGTCACTCAATCATAAATCTAAATAAACATATCTAAAAGATTTAATTTTTTCTCTTTTTTTTCTATTCCGTGATATTTCTATAGCCCTTTTATAACGTGACGTAGATAATAATTAATTTATAGTCTCTAACTGTATAAAAGTCGTATTTAATTAACAACCTTCCTTTAAATGATACGATTTGGTACAATAGATAAAAGATAAAATGCAGATAATAATTATTACTTCTAATATCTTACAATTAGTAACCGTAACCAGCCGTATGGTTTGTTCCATGGTGTTTCCTTGATTGAGCTATAAACCGAGATCAGTGTAGCATGTCATTTTATACCCATTTCACTCTAACTGCAGTTATAATTAATTGTTGGAATTTTAATCTTTCCACTTAAACATTTATTAAGCTGAGTGTACACTCACGGTATTGTACTCTACGATGAGTAAAAATCAATGTGTGTGCCGCAACTTCACAAATCCAAGACTCACATCGGTCGAGCTAGTTAGTACCTATACAATGAAAAATAAAATGATTGCATTTTATCTCCTTAGAAGTCTAAAGAAGAGTCTAACTACTGTTAGAGGACAAAAATCAAGTACTGAACGTAGTGAACTAGTTTAATTTATGTTATCGACAGCACTAGCTGTCATGTTGATGATATCATCTGTCAAATGTGACAGATTTGTAAAGTTTCCCGCGCAAAGAGTTGTAACGGGGAAGTGGGAAGTTTGACGAGCATCACGCTGTTTCTTTTAAAAATCCGTATAGAATAAAATTTTCCATATTAAAGTTTTGAGTTTTACTTAACCCTTTGAGTACCGTCATTATAGACACAATTACAGAACAATGGTGTGCGGATACCGGTGTCCTCGCGGTGTTTGACAGTTTAAAACTACCTACTTGAATCTGGCCCAATTTTAGTTTGACAAATGGCTACTACTACTAGATCGCGAGTCACTGGATAGATAAAATAATCGATATCGATCGAAGTCATTATTTCATAGTACATTTACCTAACTACTTAACTCAGTTGAGTAAAACTATGTATTGTGTGTACTCAGCTTTTAGATATAGGAAAATTATAGCCTACAAGCCAATTATCTGATTAATCATCAACCTTTAGGTACGGATGCATTAAATAAAAGATCGAATTATCATGTCAATTAGCTTGTAAATTAAAGAAACGCTACTATTTATTATTGAACTAGAATTCCTCCTGAGGTTTTGGCTGTTTAAAAAACGTTCTTTTCAATTGCTTCCGATTCTGTGAGAATATTGAGAATTTTAGAGAAATTTCTCTATTGTATGTTACGTTATCGTTTAAATTGTCCATGTAGTAATATTATTTCAAATCTGTCGAGTAGTTTCTGAGCATGTTCAAAGGAAACATACAAACAATTAAATCTTTTCTATGTATAATATTAATAACAGCATAAATAAAGCAGCATACATACAATTGAAATACCTACTTAAGTAATTGTTAACTTTGAAAGTTGAGTGATGAGTGACGTACACTCGTACAGTCAGATCAATTTGCAAAAATAAAAATAATAAAGATGATGTATTTGTAGTAAGTTGCGTGTCGATATACTTCGGCCAGTGTCGGCCGCATTCGGTTCCACACAATTAATCTGAAATAACGAACTGACCCGTAACACGACTCCTGCGCATGTGCGCTTGCTCCCACCGCACCAATTAGTATTAAACCCTTTTTAAATACGTCTCGAACTTTATAGCTGGGTGTTAGTAATGTTGAATTGTTCTAGATTTGTGTTTGGTATTGTCTATAGCTTGTAATTGTACTTACATCTAATTTCATGAAAAATAATGATGAAACAAATTGTATCACTGGTTAACGTGGAAAATATAATATCTAATGATAATAATCTGTCTGATCAATTTTTCTTTGTGCCGGGTGCGGTGTAGGTAAGTCACTGTTCGTGTTGAATTATTATATTAGTAAGTATTTCGCTGTAGATTTTCAGTTACTTATAAAAAATCAAAAATTTTACAATCGTATGAACGTAGGTACTAACAATAGTATCTTTAGAGGTAGGTGTGAATCCCACACTCCCTAGTTTTTCTCTCCAAAAAGTTAAGCGCCTTTTGAAGGTCACCAAAAAAAAGGTACAAACAATAACGGAATGTAATATTTCTTTATCACTACATACTTAGTATAAAACAAAGTCACTATCCGCTATCTGTCTGTCCATATGTATGCTTAGATCTTTAAAACTACGCAACGGATTTTGATACGGTTTTTTTAATAGATAGAGTGATTCTTAAGGAAGTTTTATAAGTATAATACATGCATATTACATCCGTGCGAAGCCGGGGCAGGTCGCTAATTAATTATATTTAGGATTAATAAAATATGTAGGCAGGTACTTACTTACCTATGACTATGAGTGATTTATGATACTCATTTAATAAGTCATAAAGGATACAATAGCTATTAGAGATAGATTACTGTTATGAGAAAGCCATACTTTCTGCTTAGATTGTTCAAAAAACATAGAATTGGTATTGGTTATTCATCGTAAGGGACGTTTGTACCCTTCTTCGTCTTGTCAGAAGATCTAGTGTCCTTTAATAGTGACCACTAGTGGTTTTTCAACACAAGGTTGAATCTGCCTTGCCAAAACCACAGCCAAGTCACTCCTGAAAAGCTATATACCTTTTAAAGTTTTTCTCCCAAAAACAATATAACGGAACATTTTATTTAATACTTCTAGTAGGTACCTATACCTACCTAGGACTTAGTGCGTAGAACAATTTATTTATTTATTAAAAAAAAGATATTATATGATTAGATAGGTATACCAACAGCTTCTGTATAGGTACATAGTATTAAGAGATAACAAAGGTAAGGTAACAATGTGTAAAAAGGTAAAATAATAATTTGCAAAGGTGTCCATTAACAAATTGAGGTCGTTTCAATCTTTCAAATAGATTTTTGTATTCGAAACGTCAGTACCTAACCACTAAGTATTTTCTATGATAGGTATCTGTATTGTGACATCATATTGTGTGCGTCAACTAAAATATAAAACCCACTATAAAATGAAACCAATTAGGTAGATACTAAAAGTGTGATTAATTTTTAGTGCTATGTATGACGGCTTAGCTAAGTCAAAACAATTATTTATTGAAAAATCCTTTCTTAACTTATAAGTGATATGAAATCTTAAAGAAATGGTATTTATCTATTTAAATGTTAAAAATCTGCCTATTCTAGACACTATCTACTACTAACTTTTTCTTATTTGTTAATAAATTGTCAAAGTACTTAATGCGAAAATCAAGAAAATCTAGCTAAACGGTCTACCTACTGGGTAGGCAGTACCCATAATAAATGGTAAAACAACACTTCTGAGCGATATCAGTAAGCTACTGCAGTCGCATTAATTAATTATGCATAAAGAAATAAATTTTACTGTAATTTGGTGCGCCTACGGCGATGATTTGTCCGTTTTTTAAACTGAGTAATTGGCGACTATACATTATTCTCATTACTTGCCTTTATTTAGCAAAAAAATATCTGTTAACTACCGAGCTGAAATATTCATTATACCTAGCTTTAATAATGTCAGGCAACCAACCTCAGTCCACAAACTTTTTGTCAATCTGGATTTTGAACCTAATTCAATAGAACTAATGACCATACTCTTACATCAATAGGTACTAGTACTTATTTGGATAAAAATCTGTTATTAATTTCAACTGTCAAAGCTATATTAACGGAGTACAAATCTTGAATCTGTTACGGAAAAAATCCATAGGAAAAGTTATCACAATACTTTCAGATGTAGAAAAAGAATTGTCTACACCCAAAAGTGTAGATAAATAGAATTTGAAAAACTCAATTACAAACGTGTTTTAATTCATACTAAGTAAAGTACCTACCTAAATTAGTTATTGATCTTATTTATTTAAAACGTTTGGTAATAAAAAGCAAAACGTATTTATTTACCTAATTAAATTAATTGCATGTTATCTGAGATATTGTGAACAAGGTCTTCTTTCTCCGGTTGTATTTGTTCACAAAATTATACGGAGCCATTTTTTTTAGGTAATTGGAACCACAAAAATCTGACACAGCTTGTTTATAGCGCTAACATTTTTCAAAAGTTTTTATTATCAAGCTGGTTAAGTTAGATAGGTAAATGTTTAATTAGGCCTATATTACCGGTGTGTGGCGGTGTTTGCGCGACGGGGCTGCGCGGCTCGGCGCCGCTGCGGGCCATGATCGCCGCGATCGAGAAGTCAGTCGCCCTCGTCTTTCCTTCCTCGGCCACCATCCTCTCTCCTCCGGCCCTCCAACACTCCGCGTTTTCCACATCCATGAAACAACTCTCAGTACCTCAGTCCAACACTAATCTTCACCCAACATCTCACCGAAACCGGCCCCTACATGGTTTTCGTTTATGCATTTTCTTGCGAATAAAAAAAAATGTTTACACCGAATTTATTTTCCGAGGAAAAAACTTTTACGATACAACTACCATTTTTTACAGAATAAAAAAATTACGTTATCAAAAAATCACTTCGAGCCAAAACCGCGTAAAACCACAATTATAAATCAATTATGTTATAGGACGATCGTTAAACGCGTATTGAAATAGCAGTGGAAATAGTCCGTAGTGTTACACAAGCGAAAGCGGTACGGCGGCTGAGCGCGGACTGAGCGCGGCGCGGGCGCGGCGCGCGGGGCGGGCCGGGCAGGCGGGGCCTCCCCGGGCAACCACTGGTCGCGCTACCCGCTGTCACCGCTACCTCCTCCCCTCCCCGCGCACCACACACCGACCACTAAGCTTTTCAATAACAATAAAAATAATAATATTAATCCTATATTTGCTCTCCACCATTGTGCATGTCATCGTGGTTAAAATAAATTTCAGCTTTTATACTCATCGGTTGTTTCAATAAAACAATTAATCACATCCCACATAGTTGCAACCTTCTATAGTTTATGAAACGATAATAATTTTATTTCTAAAACAGCAGACCTTGAGGTGTTTTAAAAATTCGCTTTGTATTCAAATGATTTTTCAGGAAAATTGTGTCAAGTGAAAACGTGCGCGCAGTCACCGCGTGAGTGCGCCGCCCATAAACACAGATCCGTAGATTAGAACGAGACAGCACTACACAACCGTGGGCGTGCGCATGCGTTAGACAGAGTCGAAAGGATTTATTGCGTACAACGAACTACGTTCAAAGACGTAACTTTACTTACAAGTATTATAAGTGAAACTTTACAAAGCGAAGTTATTATTTACAAGTAACTAAGTAATTATAATTAGTTCACGTTTTGTCCGTTAAACGCGATAAATGGCACCTTTCGTGTTTAAGATTTATCAATCAAAAATACATTTGCGAAAAGACATTTGAAGATGAATTCAAAATTCTAAATAATGTAGCTTATTTGATTTACGTGTTTAAACTTTTCGTACCTAAGTTAAAAATTATAATACTTACCTACTTAGGTAACTTAAACAAAATATTTTTTTCACATTTTGTACCAACCTACTTTTTTTTTAAATCCTACTTTTTCAAATGAAAGTGAAGTGAATGAAATAATAAACTACAAAAAATAAGTCTATCTACATTATAAAGTGAAAAAAAATGAAAGCAACTTTAATGACATAATTTTTGTCTATATTTTTCCAATTTGACGTTATAATTAAAATCTTCAAACAAAATTAACACTTAGTATCTACTTAATAGAAGATCAAAGAAGCAACCACACCTAACATTTACAAAACCTACTTAGGCCCTACCTAGGGTCAAATATTTTTCAATTAAGTACCTAAGTACCTAAAGACTGTTTTTTCAAGGATTTACTTTTAAACGTAGAATAAATTGACATAAGCGGGTATCTAACAGTTGTTATTAGTACGCAAATGTTATATCCAAAAATTATTTTTTCCTTTAATATCGTGGTATCTCGTGACCAGAGAGCTGGTCTATTTCTCGGTCAGAGGTTAAGCATTGCCATACAACTTGGCAATGCTGCCAGACTTCTGGGTACTTTCCCTATTGACGTCGATGTGGACAAATTTTTGATGCTCTGTGTACCTAAATAGTTATTTAGTTTTTATCTATTAGTTATAGTGTATCTTAAGATGTACATATTTTTTTTCCTTTCCTTGTATTGTAATATCTCAGTTTTAACAAAAAGAAATAAAATCCATTTTTCCTTCAACAAAATTATCTAGCGTTAGGAAAAATCGGGCCTAAATCAAATTAACGATATTTTTTCATAAATTTTGTAGGAGTGCAAAATCGATACACTACCTATCGTCGATTTTTTTGTAAGTAGGTATCCTATTTCTTGAAAATAACCTAGATAATAAAATCGCAATAGGTAATGAAAGTAGGTAGGTACGGTTATTTTTTTATTCCCATTGTATTAAAAAGTCAAAACAATTCCTTTTTAACTGATGACAATACCCAATAGTTACTTATGTAGGTAGGACACTAGGACCTGCCTCGTTGGCCGAGTGGTCGCAATTGCGTTCGATTCCCGGGTCGGGCAAAGTAATACTGTGTTTTAAAAAAAATCTCAGTATAAGCACGGAGTCTGGAATTGTGCCCGGTATATGGCAATAGGCTCACCCTCTATTACATGGGACTCATAACATAAGTAGTGAAAAGTGGGTGTTACATTGTACAGTGACATTAAATGCCGTAGATAATGTGCACCTCTGCCTACCCCTTCGGTTATTTTTTTAATATCCCATTGTATCAAAAAGTCAAAACAATTATTTTTTAACTGATGACAATACCCAATAGTTGCTCATGTAGGTAGGACACTAGGACCTCCTACACTTGTGTACACACAGAAGATTGAATACCTAATCGATTTCCTCCCCTATTTGCTTACGAACCCTTCCGACATTACCTAGGTACCTAAGTCCCTACATAAGGAGAAAACATGTGATGGAGAGGCCCGCACAACATTAAATAATTCAGAGGTATCACTGAGGAGTGAAGATGCCTCTCTCTGTTTGTTCTGACTGAGGAATGAGATATACAATAGCTCTTACTGTATATCTCTTTGGTATGATTTTAAAAAGAAACAAACGTTCTAAAATGACTTTCATGATCAGTAGTTAAAATGCATTTTCGTTTGTTTTTGATGTCTGCTGCAATGGGGATGATGACAGGGTATATGAAAATTAAAAATATAATTAGTCCGTAAGTTAGGTAATGAAAAAATATTAGACACGTATTTTTTTATTTTGTCGTATAATAAAACAATACTTAGATAAAACGAATCAAAGTTTAGGAGTGGGGGCTAAAACGTCATTTCTTAATATAAAATGTACTGAGAAGTGACGTCACGCGACATTTCAAATCAATATATCTTCGAAAGTATTCGTTTCTGTGAGAAAAGAAAAAATACGTGTCTAATGTTTTTAAATAATCTACCAGACGGACATTAAAATAAAAATTAGTCGTCTACCCTATTGGGTACTTGACAACTACCTACTTAGTCAAATTCAATACTTACCTATCTATGAATTTTGAAAGTACGAGACTGTGTATTGTGACGTCACGCTTGTTTAGCGCCAAACAGCATACTTATTTCTTAAAAACTTGCTAGAAAAATACTAAAAATACGTCAGTTTTAAAATCAATTAATGAATATGTGATTATTTTTTAGGTAATATTTTATTGTATCGAACAGTTAAAATAATTTACTTTTGTTTAAGGAAAGTATGTACCTACCCAATTGTAATAAACACTAAAATTGAAAAAGAAATCAGGTTAAAGGTCTTATATTATTCCTGTTTATTTTAACCTACCAAAAGCCTAAACGAAACAAACCTTAGGTACTAAGATGTAGCCTCCTAGGACCGTAAACTGTTTCATCTGTCTAATTATCTTCAATGCAAATCCAATTTTACTATGAAACAATAAAGATGAATATATCTATAAGTAAAAGAAATAACATGTGTGCCACAATATGGTAACTATATATAGTATATGGTGTCTGCACACACAGTTGGTAGTCTTAGTAGGTAAAGCCCCGCTCAAAACACTCGCATTATTTGTGAAAATATGAAAAATACGCACTTAAGAGGCAATAACTCTCGTGGTGAAGCATTAAGAAGTATTACGAGTCTCTCTGGATGTTTTTCAATTTGGTAGAATGGCGTCTGCGATGCTCATCTTTATGAGAATGTGTAGTACAAAAGTTAAATGCTTCGACAGGGCTTGAAACTTCACCGTCTCGCTCAATTGTCTCACGTAAAGAATGTGCACAATTATTGAAAAATACGAATGCAAAGTGTGTTTGTGAACTTGTAGATTGTAAACGCTATCACGATACAGGAGAAAATTATAGTGTGGGGCAAAGTTAAAAAAAAAAATCGTCAGGGACATTCGATATCGATTCCTAGTTTGAACAAAATTTCGATAAATGTTAGTGGACCTTTTTAGTGTCGATACTTATTAACATGAAAATCAAAGTACGACGTCATCGCTCTCTTTCTTTAAGTCGGTTAATTAATATACTAAAACCTTCTCCTAAGTTACCATAGGTACCTACACTTTTGTGGAATCCGCATCAAAATCGGTTCAGCCAATCGCGATATAATCACAAACATAGCTACACCTACATACATACATACATGTTTACATAGATATACACATATACCCAGGTCCAACTGAGAAACTCCTTTTTTTGAAGTCGATAAAAAACTAGACCAGGGCCTCTAGCCAAACTCCACTTTAGCGCTTGTCTACAGAGAGAGTAGAAATCAAAATGTATGGGGATGACACTGACAAGTGTCAAAATTTACGTCAATTCCATATAATTTAGTTTTCTACTCTACATGTAGACAAGCGCTAAGTGGCATTTGGCTACAGCTGCTGGATTGCTCTATAGACGACATATCTTCCATAAAACGTAACAAAACGTGCAAACATAAAAAGATGTATTTACTATAATGCATCAATCGTGTCTTTGCATTGTTCTCACGTCATATACGTACAGTATTGGAATATGTATCAGAGACATTATAGAACAGACTTTTCTAAAAGAGCAACAAATGGAGCTTCTTTCTCTTTCTTCTTCATTCGAATCTAAATTTTGGAATGAGCACCTAACTGAGTGACGGACAGACTATTATTTATTTTGTTTTGTTGACGTTTCAAAAGTAGATATTATATCTAATTATGGTTTAGTTGAAATAAATGCTTTGACTTAGACTTTGCTTTCCTTGTTGAGATTAGGTAATAGGCAAACTTGATCGTGTCGTCTTACATAAATCTGACTATTTATTAATTCATTGATTTTAAGGTAATTTAGGTAAGTAGTACTTAGGTAACTTTACCT